CATACTTCCTCAAAATGATTCAAACTTCTTCCACATGGTGCTTATTTTCCCTTCTAGAATGTAATAATTGTTCTCACTAGCTGAGCTGCTTCTGACCAGACAGTATCCAGTGGGTTTCGCTGACTCCTATTTTTTTGTTTGTTTTTTGTCCCTTGCCCATTTCTATGATATTGACGCCATCTGATTAGTAGAAAAATGTGCATATGATAGTGTCCAATAGTGTATGACATGCATAATTGTTAAAATATGTGGGTGGTTGGCGTGTGCTTTGGTGTGGTTTGCTCCTTCTTTCCTATAAAAGCCATTAGCTTTATAGTGAGTGCATAGTGGGAAAATGAATTGATCAGTACTGACTATAAACAGATTATTTGCAAATGGATGTAGTGAAGGCTACATATCAACATGAATTTTGCCGCTGTTATGTCGGTGTTCTGTTGTTGTCTGTAGTACGTAGCTTTGATTCTGCGGGTGGTTGGCGGATGTTCTGCCTCAGTCTCCATTTGATTCCCTTTCTCATATTTTCTTCTTGCAATATCAAGTACGCTTGGCCCACGTCTTGACATATGGCCATCGTGTTTTCACATCCGGCATTGTGGTCTTGAGCCTGTAATACATGCAGTTTATGATAGGTCAGTGTATTTCGTGTGCTTATATGAACCCACCATTCGCCTAGCCTCACCAACAGTCTTGATCAAGATCTCTGTGCACAATTCAATACGGCATCTGTTTAATAAACTAGTAATAATATTACTAGATACCTGACGGATGAGATTACACTCCTTTTCCTGCCAGTATCTACACCCATGCACGGCGTAGGAGTGCACCATTATTGTCAATGTATACACAGTAGGCTTGTACCGTACTACTAGTCATAGATCTATCACTACACTCATCGTCATCCGGTGTCTTGCCGACTGGCGTGGGCGATCATGGACCTCCACTTCACTCTGTCTTGCGTTGCAGCAATGGTCTCTGTTGTTCTTGTCATCACTACACTCCATTGACTTATTTGTAGTTGTACTGTGCCGACTGACCCTCTTGCCCTCAGAAGTGTGGCACACTTGTTCCCTTATCTAGCACGCATGTCTTCAATTTACTGTTATTCATAATCTCTGATTATAACACATGGGAGGAATACGTCTTGCTTTATTCAAATGCCCTTAACTCAATGGTGGTCAATACTACTTCCAGTCGTGATTGGATGTGGGCTTTAGCAATGAGAGCCGGTCGTTTTATTCTAATTGCAGAAGAGAGATTCTCAAAGACGTCCCCTTTTTACGTCATAGCATCTTACTGAAAGGCAAGTCCACAGAGGTAGCTGGGCTAGGGATTGATTGCAGTTACCATTCTAGTCTACTCCTTGGTGATGTCATGATTATTGACCTTTCTTTTTGTTAGAAATTTTGCAACAATGAAAGGTGTTCCTGTTTTAGATTGTTAGATAGCAGACAAGTCAGTGGCTAGTTAGTATTGATTACTGGGCCTGTTGGATCTTTTCTCAGGAGATTAACATCAGCTACCTCAGCTGTTGTGACCTGGACAGAGGTCGCCACAGTAGACAGAAGGCTCTCAGGTAAATCTACATGTATTCGCACTGCATTGACTTTTTCTGTAACATTCTTCTGGGGAGAGAGTTATTGGAAATTGACGCAAAATTAAAACTGGGCTCTTTTCGTCATTTGCCAAATCATGTCATTATGTCATACCTATGTTTATTCCTTTTTTAAGAATTGTGGTTATGGAAATTTTTTATTTCCTTCGGATAAAATGACACATTTAAACTTTTGATATACTCCGGGCTCAATGTGAACATGTTTTGTTTTGTTTTTAAATTCAAGAATGTTTAAAGCTTATTTTATTTGAAAATGCTTTGATAATTCGCTACCTCAGAATTACAAAGCTCTATCAGTTCAGTACCTAGTTTTGAGATGTGACGTCAAAGATTTTGAGTTTCACAAAATGGCAAGCTTTTTCGAATGCAATTCTTTGAATATCTTGGTAACAACTCCAAATAATCTCACAATTTTGATAGAGCAGATAGAACATTTGGTTTCTGACCTTATGGTCTTTGTAACTCAAAACAGCCTAACATGTCAGATAGAACTTTGTAATTCTGAGGTAGGGAATAGTCTATCCCTCTCAATTACCTAGTTTTTATGTTTGATCTTGCTAGAGAATGCCATTATCTTTGTACTGTGTGAATTATTACCTTTTCTTCCATGCTGTTCTATGCAGAGAGAACTACCTGTTCCAGTGCTCCTGTCAGATGTGTATCTCACAGGCTGATGATGAAAGTTGCACGTCTGACGATGATGAGGAGGAGGACATGGACGATGAATATGTGGACGAGAACTGAGACTTTTTTTGTAGTCTTTCCTTCAGAAGAATTGTTAAACTGAATAAAATTGTGACAAAGAAAAGCATTTATTGACCATTATATGGCATGTTCATTAGTTTTTGTCTGGTTTTGTGGTGTACTTTTGTGTCAATTAATATTGTGTAATGTGGATCTATGTTTCTATTTAAATTTATAAGACTTCCCTTTTGTTTCCTGTTTGTTCATGTTCCATTGTAGATATTTTTTAGATTTTTCAACGAGGTCACGATAACCAAATAAAGGCAATTAGCGGCCCCAAAAGAGAAGAATTTTTCTCCTTTCTCTCGCCTTGCGTCAGGTCTCAGCACTTGAGAAGAAAGAAGAATGCACAGCAGTGCTTCCGGTTTTCTGCACATTTGCGGAAAAAAATTTCAGCACACCTTTGGGGGGGGGGGGGGGGGGGGGGGGGTGATTATTTTTTAAAAAGAATGCAAAATAAATATTTTCTGTAATTACTAATAGTCACCAATAGCCAACCCATAGAGGAAGTGCTCTTTTAAACGAAAGTGTAGATGGTGTCTTTCACTTCCCCTTTAGTTATAAATTGTGTTTATTTCAATATTCCTGATCAAATGTGGTTCAAACGTTTGTCTGTGGCTAAATCATATAGATCTAGGAGTGTTAAATTCATCTGCTTTCAGTGAATGTAAATCTTTATTTCAATGTTCCTAATCAAACATGAAGATTTTGAAGGAATGTGACTCTGCAACTTGACCTTGACCAATGATTTATTTATAGAGGCACCAGCCATCCATGTCCAGGTGCTGTTTTGGCCTCTTTTTCCTGTCTGCGGATCAATAATCTTTTTTTTGCCAATTTATTGGTTCCGCTTCTATGTACCCCATATCTATGGTTCTCAACCTGGAAATACCTATAATTCGCTGTAATTGCCCCCCCCCCCCCCCCCACCATTTCTCATCACTCCCCACCCCCCTTATGGTGTCATCATATATGTTACCATCTATTTTTATCGATAACACGATTATGGATTAAGGGCAGTATTAATGATAATTAAGGGGGGAAAAAACAAAAACAAAATAAAACCATCAATTAAATAATAAATAAATAAATAAATAAGTAAATAAATTACAACTGTAAAACAGGTCGGTTCAACTGTGAAAAACAAAAGGATCTGAAAATGGTGTCAAGAGGAGGTTTCATGAGACATGTAATGTATCAAAAGCTGGTCGTGTATCGTATTTCCTTGGGGAGTGCATTATTGCATGGTCAAAGTAAGTGGACTTTCCAAGTTGTGCATATATTGTCAGTGGTGCAATGAAAAGGTCATGTATGGCACAAATGGCAAGAGACATCTTATTAGCCATTGTAATTCCACACAACACATTAAACAACTCTCCATTAGGAGTAGAAATTACTGCTTAGGAAATTTTTACATACTCATCAACAGCAGAGAAAACTCAGACACACAAACAGGCTCCCTCTTCAACAACAGGTACATGCAAACTGATTTCAATTTTTTTAAAATGTGATCCTAGAAAGGTCTCTGCTATTGGAGCTCACTGATGACCTACCTTCCTCCTCTGGATCTGCTGCAAAACTTGTGAAACCCCTTGTACTTGTACCGTTGGCAGGCTGCACTGCGAACTTGGAGGCACTAATTTTAAGCACAATTGCGGAGCATTCTCTTCCCTTATGCATTATCCATTGCACCTGTACTTGTTGACTTGGCCAAGGAGTGCTCGAGGGACGCCAAGGCTCTGGATGCAGTTAGCTTATCAAAGACCAGTGCTTCTTACAAAATGTAGTATGACTTGTCAAGAACAATATCTGAGGAGACCATCGATATAATCAAAAGTGTGCCATTTTCTATGGAGGTGAAAGTTCCAATGTGCACGGGAGAAAAATATTGACTCTCCTTGTCAGCTATACTCACCCGGAGACGGAAACAGTGGTAGTGGAACACAGAGGCGAAGTGTCTATGTAATCAAATAATCACTGCTTCCCTTCCTAATTTTGAAACATTGTCGCAGTCAAATTCACCCATAAACGTAAACTTCATAAATTAAATGTAAAAAGACGTTCATCATCAATAATGAACAGTATGCCTAACATTCTAAACGGTTTCATTGCCACAGAAATAGCCTGTTCACCCCTCTTGGGCCACTCCATAAGCAGTCACAAGCTTTGATTAAGTAAGCTTAAAGTGAGACTGGAAGTCTACCAACTGAATTGAAGGGAACATGTGCATAGCAGTCGAAACTGTTTCATTGCCACATATACCCTGTTCACCCCTTTCGGGCCACAGTTATAATCAGTCTCAAGCACCGATTAGGTAAGCTAACTATTACACTGGCCGTGGTCGAGAAAGGCTAGACAAAAAACAGCCAAATGTGAAATTTAAAAAATGATAATTGTCATGTTCTACCAAAGAGTTAGACTCCCTGGTAGATCTATAACATATAGATCTAGTACTGGCATCTTTGCTTCTTTGCTTTGTGTTTGTGTATTCACATCTAAAGTTAAATTTAATTTTAGTCGGAATTGATATTTAATGAGATACTTTCCCGATTATTTTGGCGGTTGAACATACAATAATGAATTCCGGATTTGTTTTCATTCACAACTCTGAGTCGCCGCCTCGAGCAAGGTTCTTGTGTGATATCCCCAGGCCATATCTGGTCCCGTTTCACCTTGATTAGTTGATTACCCTGTCAAACAAGTCAGCCTTCGCCCCTGGTGGAACATCTTGTCTCGATTGAACTTTTTCGTGTGGATTCCCAGTCCATTGTCAATGCAATTGAAGGGATTTTTTTATTCATGGAAGATACCATGGACCAACCTTGTTTCTGTCCTTTTCGACAGTTGCAATATAATGAGAGGCTTACTTAATCTTAAAGAAAGGCATAGAAACTTTATTTAGACAGCGTGCCCCCCCTCCCCCCCCACCTCATTGACATTGGTGGTGATTCCTTTCGCCACTTACACAATGTGGCAAAAACATTTTGCAAGCCCTTTAAGTGGTGGGTTTAACAGCTTTTCCAGGACTTGTTCATGAACTTCAAGTACTGCACTGAGCACAAAGAAATTTTGAGGGAGCTTTGCAAGATGGGCCACATAAATTTTACAGTACCCCAACGCTTTGTTTCGCATCGCTGGCTGTCTGCTTACGACCAAGCCTTGAACACGGCTCGCTTTCTCAAGGTCAACATAATCTTTTACTCAGCTTTTATACCTATTCACAAGCGAGGCTTGTATACTAAAATTGTGGATGATGCCATTTGGAAATTTGAAAGCCCTCAAGCCAGGAAGAGAACAAGAAATCTCATAATTCATTTGTGTGTGTGTGTTGACTGAGGATGGAAGAAAACGGAAGCAGAGAATTGTGGAACGGTTGTTCTATGAGCAATGATTGTCTTACACATTTACTTAAGTGTACTTCAATTGTTGAAGCAATATGTCTACAAATTTCAAACAAAAGTCCCATTGATACACACGCTGCACTACGAGCAGGAGATATATACTCTGTAAAATGTTTTTGGCCTTCTTTGTTAATAGTAATAATAGTGAATGCTTCACACAGACCTCAGCCCAAGCAAGCTAAAACGTCTTCATTTGGACAATGATGATGTTCTTCTGCCTGCCAATGCGATCTTTAAGGGAGCCACTGTACGGAATAAAATGAGGGACTTATCAGAGTCAGATGACTTTAAAAAATTACTCACATTATAAAAAAAACTCAAGAGAGCGTACTTGTCTGCTGGGAAGCAACTTCACAACAAGCTTCCATTGGACAACAAAGTGCTACGAAGCCATAGTAGCCTACCTTGGACACAGACCTGCGACATGACTTCAACATCAAAATGTCTTTAGAACACCTGAGACCATCCCTGGAGGTTCTTCTGACAGACCAACAAAAGGATGACATTGAAGTTGAACTGCTGCTGTTTGTCTGTGACAAGACCTTGCCTCTTCTTGGAGAAGAATATATGGACATCTGGTTGGGCAATATGAAACAGTATCGTGCGATGAAATTTTTGGCCCAGTCTGCCTTGAGCTGCTTTCATGGTCCTAAAGTCAAAACATTCCTTTAACAAAATGAAAGAAAACATGGGTGGGAGGAAGGGGAGTTGGACAGCTCAAACCTTTAATTCCTTGCAAACTGTTGTATATCGCCTGAGGTCAACAAACTTTTCCTCCCTTGAATATTTCTCAAGAAAAGAGACTCTATTCACGCCTGTAGATCTTAAACTCGTCAGAAACATCAGAGTATCAGAGGAACGCACAAGCAATACAACAAGCAAGAGCTGGAGTAAAAATAAACAAGTTTCAAGAGAAGCTTCAGTGTAATTGGCATGGGTGCTAGCTATTTGCAAACACAGGCTGCTGCCCGTAGAATCAAAGAAAAAGCTTCGAAAACATCATTTCTAAAGCACAAGCAGAGCACCAGCAACAAGAGGAAGAAATGTGATTCAAATTCAAAAGATCTCGGGAGAGAAGAAAACTCTAGAGTTTGATTTTTTTTTCAGACTCGTTTTTTATTTGTAAAAATATTCTCGTGAATTCGGGTGTACAGTACAAGGGAGAACAGCATGACTTTGGATGATATGGATTCTACACAGTGGTGCAAACCAACACAAGCAGCTATTATGGATTTACAGTACCGGTACAGGAGAAAGCATGGCCTTGGATTTATGCGGATCAACACTAAAAGCAGAAAAGTGTGTACCGTATGCACGGTATGTTTTTTTCTCACTTATTTCCTTGTTAAATTTAGGCCTGAACAGTAAAAAAAAAAAAAAAAAAAAAGGCATATTTAGGGTGCCCTGAAACAACAACGAAAAAATCTCCACCGTAAGGCGTCCCCCACCCCCTGCCAGGGTGCTGCCCTGAACCCGAAAATCCTCGAAAAATGAAGGGAGTGCTTATAATAAGGCCAACCCCCACCTAATATTGTTTAGGCCACCTATGGCCGAAGTAAAGTTTCCCTCTCCCAGGAACGTTATTTAGGCCACATATTTATAATATTAATATGCTCAAACTACCCTTTTCACGCAACTGAGTAATGGTGCTCCTTTCTCATTTAGTA